ACTGATCCCAACATGATGTCCAGTGGTCACTTCCGGTGGCGAATCAACCGAATTCCTTGCTTAGACACGCTGCCAAACATCAGTTCTTTGACCGTGCATACAGATTACTGACCTTCAGCCATCCTCGTCAGCTTCTGACCCTCCTCAGAGCTCAGTACAGCTAGCCTCTGTTACAGCGACTCTCGTCGTCGTTGCCTCAGCGCCACAACCATGGCAGCAGTCTCGCCACTGTCATTCTTGGATGTAGGGATGTGAAGTCGTGGATATGAGTGTGCTGTGTCGTCCGTTGGTCGTCCGGAAGCTGCACGAATAGTGAGGTACGTGACCCTGGAAGTCAACACTATTGCTAGGTCCCCTCCTCTCGACCGCCCATTTGGAAACGGGAACAGGTTCGTCAACACGTCGTTCAGCATGCTGAGAGTCGAGATTAAGTAACAAAATGTCTTCGGAGGAGCTGCGAGAGCTTATCCAACGACGCTGGCAAATCCGATAAATACTGAAGCATAGAATACAGTGACGAGACCTGTTACTCGCGGCAGGGCGTATTCAGAGGAGGAAGGCTGATCGGGAAGGCGGGAGCGAAGCTGGAAGATGCAGGAACTACTATGCATTCCCCAAACCTGGGCCAGGCGGAAGAAATGCTTTCTTAGTCTATCAGCACATAACGAACCGAGAGATCATTATTGAGGTGTAATTCCAAACTCCGACCCGGAGCTCACGCCGAACTTAAATAGGTATATATAGTAGTGCAATAGTAGCGCAGCCGTGCGGTCTGCATCTTTAAAAACGAATTATTGCAGCATATTCTCTTCTTTTAAATGAGATATAATTTTTTCATCAAAATCCGTCCACCACACTCCAACTTTCGAAGCACGCTTCAAGCTGATTCATACTCAGGCTCCGCTCCAATGTATCCAGAACCCTGTAGAAAAATGAGCTGTCACATGTGCGGACAGGGATGGAAGACTTGCCACCTTTATAGCCGAACCTTTTTCCATATCGTTCCCAGAATCCGTGGCAAAGTCTTTCTGTGTATCGATCTTGATTGAGATATTCTGCTGCTGCTGGAACATTACATAAATAGGAAGACTCAAGACGACGAAACTTGCTCGACTGGATGAAATCTTTCCGGTCTTGCTCTGTCCCAACGAGTTCAATGATAAATTATTTCCACTGGTGCTTTCAATGCCGTCGGAGAGTTCACGAATCTTCTTCCGCGCATTGAGTGTTGCGAGCAGAGAGTTTGTATAGACTATATTTGGTATTAATGAATTAATAAATTGTCTGCAGCGAGAAGAAATCTTACGGCGTCCTATGCAGAAGAAAAAGGCGATATAAATAAACGTTGTCGGCCACGCGAGGATCTGGTGATGAATGCTTATTATACATTACATATTATAAGACTAAGAAAGGAAACTTACCGAAACGAGGGAAGCTAAGGCACAAAGGCTGTATGAAATTTATGAGACTGCTTCACGAATGAATTTGGTGACGTGGGTGTACCTGGTGAGAAGTCCGGTATTGACGGAGAAAACCATCTGCGCAATGTTCATTCAAGCCGAGACAAAGGATAGAATAAGCACGTACGAGTTTAGTAATGATTGTATCCGATCTGGGTGAGAGTGTTGATCCATGCCAAGAGGGGAACGGTAAATTTGACAATACCTGTGGAAACCAGTGCGAGAGCGGTGTAAGATTGTGCACAATGAGGCGGCGATGACGATGTCGGCCGCCGCTGCTAGAGCGTTGGTTGCGAGCGATAGTCCCTATTCATTGGCAGAGAAATTGATGTTAGAGGAATATGAAGTCTAATAATTACTCTTCACCTTCAGGTGAGCGAGTTGAGCGAAGGTTTCAAATCGTAGCCTGTTTTTGCTAGTTACTACAATTGAGGCAGGTCAGGAGGTGGGTCACTTACGATATGATCGTATAAGCTAATTGAGTCAATCAAGTCAGTAATTTCACAAGAGAATAGACCATTGCTGAGGACCTAAGCTGACTCCTGTTGCGCAATTGGGCAAAACGGTACTTAAGATGAGCAACTGATGATGACGAACCAAACTCCCCGAAGATAAGTAAAACCTGTGTCACTGTTAGCCGCAGTCCACGGTTCAAAAATAAGCACATACAACGATGACTATGAGCCACACTTTTCGATCGCTCACTGTAAATTTAATGAGATTTAATGGTAAAAAAATTATAGTCAACGGAAACTGACATCGCCAGATACGCGTTGCGAGGAAGCTATAATGTTACAGAAGTCAATCAAAAAGGAAGTTTAGAACGGGAGGGGCTCGCCATTGCACCATGAACGTGGTGAGTCCCTACCAGCAAAGTGTGATTCAATTCGCCCACAAGTGCAAATAATTGGGAGACGCACGTTAAATAAGACCTCAACCAACAGTGTTCTGTATTCAAAGGTCGACGAGTGAGTATAGGAGACAAAAGCATCATCGCGTACCGAACGAGCTCGCCACGAAAAGACACATTGCCCCAATTTGTGATGGTATACGTGTAAACTGCGGGGAATCGTCAACTAATCATACGGCGATAAAGTCGGGATAATTCTACCGGTGTGAGTGATGAGACCTTGGTGTATGGTGTCCGTAAGCATCACAGCCCCAACCTATGCAAAACCATCACTTCAAGGGAGAAGTAAATTTCAACGTTGATATTTACCAGGGCTTTCAGGTGCCACCGATCGCTTTGGTGGGTAAAGTAGTACCAGGCTTGAATACAAGAAACTGAGACAGTCCCGTCAGAACTTTGAGAAACAGCGAAGGGAAAAAGGGATTCAGACCCCCAAAAAGGCTGTTGAGCAGTCAGCAGAACGGTTATAAATGGATATCATAGACACTTACCATCCAGAAACGACAACCCCGATATAAGCTGCACCCAAACTGTGTTGAGAGAGAGATCAGACGTCTTGATATTATTAGCTTGATTGGTACGCACGTATCGTTGAGCACGATTTGTGATAACGGAGCGGAGTCAGCCATATCAACGACTTGAGCTTGAACGTCGAGGGAACGCGATCGAACCGAACGGAAGAATGCTGGGGAATTGAGCTTGAGCTTTTATATTTTCGGCCGCATGGTGGTTCTTGGGAGATTTCACCCACTCAGGTGCGGTGTGATCTGGATGATGCCTGCCATCAAGGGAGATATGAGTATCTCGGATAGAGCCGAAACCACTGAAGTACTGATCTTTCACTGTTTCACACCAAGTTTGCTTAGGTCAAGAACCTCTACTCTGACGAAAGGATAAGGACTTTGGATTTGAAACCTTTTCACATGCACTTTGTTCAGTGCGAAATTTTATGGCCTGCAACTAAAAAGGTACGGTACCTATTCGACCCTTCAGATTTCAGGGATCGCTCTTGTGACTCAATCTGTCCGGAGGTTTTGGCAACCACTTTCGTGCATAACTATATTCTCAGAAACCTGAACGACGCATCAGCTCCCCAAAACATCGATGGCCCTGCGTCCGGCATATTTTTGAGCTAAAGAAGTGATGATCGCAACTCGCTTATTTGCAATTTCTTTGGACGTATCGAATGATTCATGTGATAATTTTGAACTTTGCGGCAATAACACTATTACGGGGAGAACTGCGCGTTGCTCTGCCTGAGATCTACAATACAACAATTAGCCAGACAGACAGACGTATCGGCAGGATTTGTCGTGGCCCGCCAAATTCCAGAGTTTTTCGGGGCCGCCACGTTTGTCTTTCCATGTTTAAGGGGCCCTTTAAAATAAACATGGGTAATGATGCATGCTTCCAGCCGATCAAGCATGGAGACGTAGCTTGACTTTGTTGGTCAATCATCAATGCCAGTCAATTAAATTCTATCTAAGGCCGGTTTTCAAATTCGGCGAATTCGACGATCATCGAGTTCTCATTCAAAATTTTAAAAACTTGAGAACCTTACTTATCCTGCAGGTTGTCTCGGAGAGGCAGACTCATCTTGGCATCTGGCCGGTGTCTTTCGCTGATGCACCTTCAATGATGATTTTGCATTCGATGTTTCCAGTCGGACCTTTATTTTTATTTTGAAAAAAATGGGACAAACGTTCGGAACGATCAGTCCCTTCAGGCCTTCAAGATATTGAATTAGGGCACGACTTCGTCAAGGTCTCCGTGGAGTAATTTTAACAGTAAGCTAACATCATCCAGGCGTGCGAGGAATTGCTCAAGGGAAGATCAACGGAGAGGAAGCGTATCAAGGGCCAACATAAAATCACGCACCACCATTTCACGTTGATAGCGCACTTTGGAATGCTAAAGCGGTGATTCGCACCATCAATCAATCCTTGTCCCGTATAAGTATGTGTATCTCTTGAAGACTTGAACGCCACGAATTTCAATGAATGGGAATATGTCCCATTCTGTTTTGTTGTTTGTTTCGCATAGCTGTAGCCTTTCTACATGCTACGAGAACTCCACTACTCACACTTCTGATTTTATAGTTACGCTTTTGTAACCTAGCCAGAGCCCAGCCATCAATGGCTCTTCCAAAAAAGAATATTAAGGGTCTTCGTATCCTGAGTTGACTGCTGTTTGCGCCTCACAACTCTCCAGCTTACATAAGTAATCTGAAGCGAGCATCAAGTTTCCGATTGATTGCCGATTGAGCGAAGGGAAACAACAGCTGTGCAATGTTGATAAGGATACTGCGCACGTCTAACGTGTACACCTTCAGAACTGAAGGCCCTTCAAGCAAATCATCCGGGGCACTGGCCAGAGACGCCGTCATCTATCTCTTTGATATCTCTTACTCAAAATATTTCCAAAATATTCAAAAAATATTTCTATTACCATGCGAGTCAATAACCAATTAAACCGGTCAAGCGATCCACTTTAGTGTCACACAATACATAATTGTTCATTCGTTCAAGAAAGGAATCAGGATAGTTAAAGATTTTGAATCGGGCTATTCAGTTGGAGGTCCCAGACACCACGCCATAGCCCACGGTAGAAGCCCAAAAACCTTCCGGCGTAATGGTCCGAAAAGCACCGTTGTCACTGTGGTCCAGTGGCGAACCTTTTTTTTTTCCCCCGTCATAAAAAAGAGGGAGGTTGTGGGATCTGAGGAGATAAAACCTGTAAAAACCTGCTTCGCTCACCCTCGTTCACCACTCAATTGGTGAGCGTTCAGATCAAGAATTTGATTATCGATCCCAGGGAGGAAAGAGGCCCCATTTAAAGAAAACGCGTCAAAATTCCACGTGTCCACCTAGCCGGATAGCTCCCGAACAATGTCGCCGAATTTGCACCTTATGTAATGACCATTGACCATATGTTTTCCGCTATCGAAGCGCCACAACGCCACTCTTGTATCTCACCGGTGATGCACAATCAATTGCTGTAAGAAACAACGGGAAGGTAGGCAGGGAAAGCTCGATAAACCAGATGAGGATATCTACAATCACAATATTATTCTGTACAGCAGTTCGAAGCCGCTTGACGTTTCAGCATTGCTATCAGATTCCCTGCATAGCTAGCTGGTCGCGTCTTTACGATCCGTCATTCAAACCCTCAAAATGTCAATTTGCGACGCAGAAAATCGGCTTCTGGTGGCATCTGGATGAGGGTCTTTGATGTTGCGTCCCTCAAACGTCAACGGCAGAAATGCTCTCACTGTCGCTTGTTTAACAGAAGATAGACCGCCAGAAAATAATAAACGCTCATAAAAACGTATCACAACCGTCACTCTTCTCCAGTGATGATGAGGGCAGCTATTACTTCGATGGAGAATACATCGAGTTTTTTCTTGGCGCTCCACTTATCCCCACCTCGATCGCAAGCGGTTGCACTCTTCTTCACGATGAACAAACTCAAGTTGCAAGGCAGTCTCGTGTCAGCATACGAAGATACCGCACTGCATGTATCCATTGTTGCGAAGTTTATTCATTGGAGCAGGAATTCGTGCCAAGGAGTCTGGACTGTTTGATAATTCAACAATGCGTACATTGGTTGGTTGCCACCCTGCTGGACCTATGTACCTCGCAAAATGAAGGGGGGAAGT